CACACTGCAGTACATGGGTGAGTCACGCCCACGAGACCATTGTCGGGCTGCTGACGCCGTTGGGTCGGACCCTGTCTCCCAGCTCTAAAACATGAGCCTTAGCGTGTTGCTTTATGGAAGAATAGCATATTTCGGTGTCGTTTATACCCTTTCCCTTCCGCCTTCTACCCTTTAGAGCTATTGCGCCCCTGGTGGACACAATGTATTGGTGGTAAGCGTGGGGGACGCAACTTACAGGCTTCTAGATATACACGAACCAGGAAATTGCCGGTTACGTGTGCTTCGGTCCAGAACCATCTAGAGCGCGTTGGACGTTATTTGCTTGTACGGCTGAGTGATGCAGGCACAACACAGTCGCAGAGAAACCTGGGAAATACCTGGCGTGCCACGGCGGCGCGTGAAAGCGGTCCTGTGTGAATATCTGCTCACGCCGGCGTGTTGGCGTGTTCTGTCATATTTTGGCTTGTCTTCTGTCACATGTTTGGCTATCAAAAGTGCTGGGTAATACGTCCAGGTGAGGGTAACAAGATCCACGTCTTCCCTTCCCGCTGCCGCGGAAAACGCGCCGCTGCAGCACATTCGTGTAGTTGCTGTATATTCGCATTCGTGTGCCTCGACTCTGCTCAGCTCTCACGCCCGTCACGCAGAATAAATCGCGTTAAGCCCTGCTCGGTGGGCGACCCCAAGAGCCGTATCCGAGCCGCCCATCTGTACATTCACCGTACGCGCATGCGCCGACAGCGCCGGAGCTGCGGACCTGCAGGCGTACTCGCACGCCGTCGACTGGTGGTCGCTCGGCGTGGTCGCCTTCTGCCTGCTTTCGGGGAGCGTGAGTGCCGGCCCGACATCCTGCGTGCGGCGTGCTTAAGGGCGCCCGCGGGCCCCCGGCGTGACTGTAGCCTTGGCGTCCTGTGGTGGCACGTGATGCGTCCAGTTCGCTTCTGGATATTGACGACGGAAACTATTGCCAAAGCCAGATATGAATAATAGGCCCTTACATACCGACCTGATTCCCCAAATTCTTGGAAGTTCCTCGCTCAGTGCTCAGTGCTTTTGATTGGTCACGACTGGATTTGTCCTTTCGGTGCATGATGCGTTGTCAGCTGACTGGTGCAAGGGCACGCCTCTCCAGTCTTTTCCGCCCAGTGATGTTCTTTCTTCAAGTCGACCCACGTTCGAACCTGCGGAAATATTTTCACGGGCTGGGATAGGATTTTTAGTGCAGTCGATGGTTGTCCAACTGTCCCCGCTGGTTTCTTCGGACACCATTCCTGACCCGTGCCAGATCTCTTCCGCACGCGACGCCTGACACGTTCCAGTTATCTCTCCTGGTCTCAATATCCTCCAGCCGGCTGCCGCACACCCTCACAACCCGCTGCGTTGCCCCGGCTCGCTCGGTAGTGGCGCCCCCGCTGGGACCGTGCGCGTCCTCTACGGCGTAGACGGCGCCGCCGGAGCGGACCACGTGGAGATGCGAAGCGCGCCCAGCTGGCGCCTCCTTCCGCCTGCGTGTCACGAGTGACGGCGGCGGCGGCGCGCTCTGGTGGCGCGACTGCTCACGACGGCGCCCCGCCACCGGCTCTCAACAGCCTGCTCAAGCTGGGCCGCGAGGCCTGGTACACTGGCTACGAACTGGAGACGTCCGCCACACCAGAGAGGTGGGATGGGCGGCAGGGCACCGAGCGACCGGATGTTCGGGAAGCGAGAGGGTAGGGTGCGGGTGGAGAGCGGCAGTACATTGCTGATGTAGTAGGCCTCTGTCCAGTGGATGGTGGGAGGGAGTCAGCAGGGATCCGGGGACTGCTGTTTTAGTGTAGGAATGAATGTGGTCAGGGGCTGGAAAAAGGTGCTGAGCTCTGCGCTTGCAGGAGCTCCTGGAGCTCCTGCAGGAGCTCCTGGAGGAGCTCCTGTGCCGCCTAGCGTACCTGTCGGGGTCTGTCTGCTCTGCTCCTGGTCACCGGACCCCTGTTCCTGGCGACTTGAGCTCCACTCCTGACTCCCCCCCCCCCCCCACTGTCAGATCTCGGCGCGCCTCATCTACGACCGCTTCTACCCGGCGGGGTCGGCCTCGGCCGCCTCTGAGAGCGGCCTCCAGTCGGACGACTTCATCGACTTCGACGCCACGACCGTCGACGAGTCGCTGGGCAGCGCCGAACTGGTGGACGAGTTCCCCGAGCTGCCGGTCGGCTCGCCGCGCCGCGCGACCGCCGCCGCCGCCAGCACGCCGCGCCGCTCGGTTGGCGCGCGGCGCCGCTCAGCCCCGCCTCGCCCGAGGACTCGGTGGTGACGTCCAGCGGTGTGCTCTCACCGCATCGGCAGTTCGCGGCGGGAGCATCGGGACCGCCGCCGCCGACGGTGACAGCGGCGGCGACGGCTGCGGCGCGACCACCGACGCCGCCGCTCCGCGCCACGCTCGACACGTTCGAGGAGACGTCTAGCGGCGACATCCTGGAGCTGCGCTTGCCCGACTCGCCGTCGGATGGCGCCGTGTGCGCGTGCGTGCCGCCTGTCGCCGACGCCGCGCCGGTACTGGAGCTGAACTTCTACGGAACGCGGTCTCAGGACTGCGGCGAGGACGCGCCTGGCGCGGCCGGCTGTCCGCTCTGGCCGAGCGACGCCGGGCCCGGCCGGCCACCGACGGCTGAGGACTCCCTCAAACGGCCCGGTTCGGCCGGCACCAGCCGGGACGAGTTCGAGCGGATCTGGAAGCGGCCGCGCACCGCCGCCGAGGCCAGCTGGGAGGAGGGCTCCGGCGCCGCCGGGGCCAGCTGGGAGGAGGGCTCGGGCGCAGCGGAGCTGTCGATCGAGGTGTAACGCTGCCGCGGCGTGGCGCGGGGGCGGGTCAGGGAGAGGCGCTGTCGGAAAATCGGTCCTTCCGCGTGGTCCGCGAGCCGCGGGCGCTGTGCGCCCTCGCTGGTGCTGGGCCCTTGAGCACAAATAGTACTGGCAGGTGTCGAGTACAGAGATGATTGGAGATAAGGCTGGATTGATCGTTTGTCGGTAGTGAGCAACCCTGCAGGCACTTTGCGCGCCCGCCGGGGACCGTGTTAGACACGCTAGTACGAAGCATCCGTCCATGCTAGTGCACGCTTTGTCGCGTGTAATGTCGCGCTCGCGTTCGCGCGTGCTCAGTTATCCAGCCCAGCCCCACCCGCCGATCCGCCATTGGACCCTTGTCTACCGGAGCAATCCGCCTTATCCACATATCAGTGTTCCGAGACCGACCATCGACCATTGCAGACCCTGGCCGCTTGGAGTAACCCTGGTGCCGCGCGAATGCACCGGGCGCGTCGGCTCCGTGCCCCCTGATCTCGAATCGCTGCCTCGGCACGCCCCCGGCCGGGTGGACCGCCCCCGTGCGCAGCGCTGGGCGACACCGCTAGGTCGTGACATCGCGCTGGTCAGCTGTTTGCGGGGGCGCCCTGTGGCGGCGAGCGCTGCCGGCCTTATGGCCAAACACGGGTCGCTGGAGCGTGCCTCTTGGGAGGATAGGGCTGGGCTGGAGCGTCGGAGGGACCGCGCGCCGTCTGGGTCGAATGGGATTGCAGGGAAGGATTGGCGCGCGAGGGGGAGGGTGGAGAAAGTGTCGCTTGG